GCAGTAGATGCAAGCTCCATTCTTCTTGAAAGGGTTCTTGAGCACTGCTGTGGTGGCCTAAGAGCATCAAACACGACGTGCTCCTTCACTCTTCCAAAGCAGAGTCTGCCAGTGATTCTCCAGGGAGTTTCCAGTAGCTTTTGGTCTTGGAATGGGGTAGCACCTTTGATCCCTCTCGTTCTGAGGCTTTGGCATCTTGGACTCTGTAGCTACTGGTTCCTCCAGCTCTCGAGTCTGCAGATAGTCATTGTGGAGTATCCAGCTGCTGGTTGTGTAAGTCAATGTAGTAAATCCCATTTTTATAATCATATTTCTTGTTGATTATGTTCCTCTAGAGAACCCCAAGTAATACATCCTTCAATAAATACATTTCCATACAACAAAAAAGGGCTAAATTTACTCCTCTTTGCAACACTTAACTCCATTGAACACATACCTCATTGAATTTTCCTCTGATTTCATGACACAAGATTCATATAATCTTATACTCCTCCTAAGCTCACATTCTAGAATTCTCTTCCTCTACACATGATGGAAAATAAGAATCTGTTAACACATACTCAACTCTCGAAGGTCCTTCCCAATGTCTGACCCTAGTCTGCATCCTCACATTCTCTTTCTCAATGTACATAGACATTGCCTCAATTTTAATTCCTTGACACTTGTCCCTGGTTCCAATCAGTGACAATGAGAGATCTCGGTCTGCAGATTTCAACTGCTTCTAACTCAACCTGTCCAAAACGCAACTGCACTCATTCAAACTCTGCTTCTCCCCATCTCTCCACCCTGTTCTCAATCACCCTCTGAGTTTTCTTCTATTACTTAGTGATGGTCCCTTTCCTGAATGACTCACCAATATCCTCATTGTGCCTTTGTGGCATAATCCCCCCTCACTGGTACCCTCTACCTGTACCCTTGCAGTTAGAAGGATCTAAAAGTGTGCATTATAATGTGCTTAATACCATTAGTTAATTAATTAATTAAATGAACATTTCATGGAGTGACCACATCATGTTGGGATTTTGATATTTGGAGGTATACAAGGCATAGATCTTTCTATGAAAATATACCATCTTAAAGGGCAAGAGACACAAGAATGGCTATCTAACATACACATTCTGTAGCAGAGTTCAAATGCATCTGTACATCATAAAAACATCCTTTATATTCTCTTTATAAACCTCTTCTGCCTCTTCTTCCATTTCCCTAGTGTGTGTTCTTCTTTTCCAAGCACCAGTACAACATATGGATCTCCAGTAAGCCTTGCCCATATGCCTGTGTGCTTTTTATCTCTCTGTCTGAAATATCCTTCTAAACTTCATCAGTTCAGCAAACTGACTCTGGAAGTTTTTCTTGGCTACCTCAGATAGTTATCATCTCAGTATAGACTAGATAACAGTCTGTGCTAGTTAAACTTGCTTGTTCTAATGGATAATGAGGTGCATGAGAACAGTGATGGAGTCCCTTGTGCCCTTCCAATTGAATGAACAATAATCATCCCACCTGGGAGTCAGAAAATCAATAAGAACACAGGCCCAGGAGTCATATAGGCTGGATATGAATCCCAACTTCACCATATAATAACTGTGTAGCCTTAAAACATTGTCTTCTCTGAGCCTCAGTTTCCCTTATCCATTAAAGTGAATAATAGTATTTCAAGTGTTCTACGATGATCCAATAAGATGATGCAAACAAAGTATTTGGCATAGCGCTCATACAAAACTGTAAGTACTCGATAATTTTTAGTTACTATTGTTATAATGCTTGTTTAAAAATTGATTGGTGGTGACATTACTGTTTTTTTGTTGTTTTGTTTATTTTTTACATTTTACAAGTGTACTCAGGTGTTAAGAAAGAAAGAATTTGAGGGGAAGGAAGTTTAACACTTTTTAAGAATTTACTGTCCTTATCAACACAGTATAGGTGTATTACATCATTAATCTTCCCAGCAACTTGGGTGGAATAGGAATTTATAAATTAGGAAACAGTACCAAAGAATAGGAGGACTCTTACTCGAGAATACAGTGCTCTAGCTTTAAGACAGGCTGTATCAGTCAGCTGGGGCTGCCTAACAAAATGCCAACGACTGAGTGGCTTAAACAGAAATTTACTTTTAACATTTCTGGAGGTAGGGAAATACAAGAAAAAAGTCATATCAATTTAACTCCTGGTGAGAGCTCTCTCCTAGCTAGCAGATGGCCACCTTCTCACTGTGTCCACACAGTTTGAAGAGTGAGAATGAGAGATCTCTCCCTTCCACTTCATGTAAGGTCATTCATTCAATAGAATTGGGACCTATCTTTATGATATCTCAGTTTACATTAATTACCTTATAAAAGCTCCATTTTCAAATGCAGTCATCTTAGGGATTAGGGGTTCAGCATATGAATCAGGGGAACAATATTCAACCTACACCATGCATCTTCTCTGCAATGAATCACTGCTGTGACCAATAGTTGAATCTACATATGAAGTCCACTGCTGCCATCCATTCAGGCAGAAATCCTGGATCAGATATATCTCAAATCTTTATTTTTTGGCCATTCTCCTTTTAACTCATATTCTACTAGTATAGTTTCCTGTACATCCAAAATATAGAATAACTGTTGATAAAAAATAAACAAAAGATCTACATCATGAACTATCCATCCAAAAAGAGAATTCCTAAGAGACAACTTAAAGCAGGAGATATTCTGGGTCATGAGTTTGAAACCATCCAGCTCTTCAAATTAGTCACTACTAGGGTATAAGGGCTGGGGTAGGGACTATAGGAACTAACATAATAGCTGTCGTATCTCTAAGGGTGAGTCTGTGGGATTAAGTGGTGAATCATTCTGGCCTTCAGTGAGCTGGTGTGACAAGAGAAGTTTGGAAGGATAGTTGAGTCAGAAGAAGGTTACAGAACATACCAGTAGTTAATAAAATCCTGTGGTTGTAATGGAAGGAACAAGAGATGCCTATTCATGCTAGGTTCTCCCTCCTCCTCCCCAACACCCAGCTGCCCTCTAAGTTCCTAGGAAAGAAACTACAGCCTCAGCAGGAGAGCCCCCAAACTGTAAGCATATTGAAGTACACATAATAGCCTTTCATATTGAGAAGAAAAAGAAATTCCCGGATTACACGTAGGGAGTACTCCTAGGAAAGGGTAAACAAAGACAAGAGAACTTCTCCAGTAACCAGGAAACTCCAGGTTAATTAAGGTACTAGAAAATTAAAGATGAGTCCAAACATGGGTTGAAAATAAAATGATGAATACTTTTTTTTAAAGACAAGATTTGTAGTTGCCTTGTTACTTTCTTTTCTAACACTGCAAGTAAGGAAAATGTCAGAGCCTGAATCTCTCTAGAAGGACTCTCAATAACCCAAGTTTTTTTGTAAGAATAAAAACAAAGAATAAAGAAACAATTTCCATCCCAGGGAATGAGCATGTAAATTGTTTAATATTCATATAATATAATATTACATATCAGGAAGAATGAACATGACTCCATGTGACTATAGATTTTTAACCATCTCACAAGTGTTATGTTGATAACCTTGGAAGCATAATTTTTCAAGTCTCACAAATGTAATAGTGAAAAAAACACTAAGAATACATATTATATAATTCTATTTATATGAAGTTCCCCACTTCAGACAGGAATTACAGAAGAGGATAAAGACTGGAGAGTGAGCATCCTCAGGGACAGATGGGGTTCAGAAGGCAGTGGGGTTTGAGGTACTGGCTCAGTTTCTTCTTTATTTTTTAATTGATGCAAAAAAAATAGTACGTATTTATATGATGTTTTGATGCATGTACACCTTGTGTAATGTTTAAATTAGATCAAACTTTTCGATCTCCTCAAACATTACTCATTTCTTCATCCTGGAAACATTCAAAGACTTCTTTCCTACCTTTTTGAAATGTATATAATGCATTACCATTACCTATACTTACCCAACTGTACAGTAGAACCCCTGAAATTATTTCCCCCATCTATTTATAATTTATTACCTCTGGACCAACCTTCCCCCATCCTTCCCTCCCGCATCTACTTCCCAGTCTCTATTATACTCTCAATTCTACTAGATCAACTTCTTTAAGTTCTACATATAAGTGATCCTGAGGTATTTGTCTTCTTTTTTTCTGGTATATTTTGTTTAACATAATGTCTTCCAGCTTTATCCATGTTGTCACAGATAACAAGATTTCATCAATTTTTATGGCTAGATCGTATTTAACTGTGTATATGTACCACATTTTCTTTATCCATTCATCAGTTGATGAACACTTGGATTGTTCCTATTTTGGGGCTGTTGACATAATTTGGATCTGGATGTCCTTCTGCCTCCAATGTACTAAAAGCTTGATATTCCTAGTTTTGTACTACAGAGAAGTAGTGGAAACTTTCAGCCTAGTGAGAGGTTTCAGGTTATTGGGAATGTGCCCACAAAGGGGATTGTGGGACCCTCCCAGCCTCCTCCTCTTCCCGTCTGTCTCTTTCACACCTGGCTATAAGGTGGATGAACTTTTTGCTTCACCATATGTTCCTGCCATGATGAGCCACCACAAGCCAAAAGCAAGGGAGCCAATTGGTCATGGACCGAAACCTCGAAACCTGCACAACTATAAGACAAAATAAACCTTTTTCTTTTGGAATTTGATTATCTTAGATATTGGTTACGGTAAAACAAAGTTGATTAACACAGATATCATGAATAGTTCTGCAATAAACATGGGAATTTAGATGTTTCTTCAACATACTGATTTCATTTCCTTTGGATATATGCCCTGTAGTCAGATTGCTGGCTCATATAGTAACTCTATTTTTAATTTTTTTTAGGAGCTTCCATACTGTTTTCCAAAATGGCTGTATTAATTTACATTTGCACCAACAGTGTGCAAGTGTTGTTCCCTTTTCTCCACATCCTTGCCAGCATTTGTTATATCTTGTCTTTTTGTTGATACTCATTTTACAGAGATGCTGTGATATCTCATTATGGTTTTGATTTACATTTCCTTGATGATTAGTGAGGCTAAGCATTTTTTTCATATACCTGTTAGGCATTTGCATTTCTTTCCTTTTTTTTTTGAGAAAATCTATTTAAGTCTATTGCACATTCTTAATCAGATTTCTCCTATTTAATTGTTTGAGTTTCTCATGTGATCTGAATATTAACCCTTTCTCAGTGTATATTTTACAAATATTTTCTCCCATTCTCTTCACTCTTGATTTTTTTTTTTTTACTGTGACAAATCTTTATGGTTCTAGTAATGCTATTTGTCTATTTTTTGCTTTCATTTCCTGTGTCTTGGGAATCTTATCTAAAATTTAAAAAAAAAAATAAAGTTTCTACTTTGTGACCTGCCTTCTGATTACATGAGTATGTTGGTTTAAAAACAATTTATTAAGTTGTACCTTTATGACCTGTGCACTATTTTGTATGTTATATTTTAATTTGAAAAAAATTTAAATACCACTTTTGGGTGTATACCTAAAAAAGTTGAAAGCAGAGACTTGAGTGACTATTTTACACCTATCATATTGCAGCATTGCTTACAACAGTCATAAGATGAAAACAAACAAAATGCCCATAGACAGATGAGTGGCTAAAACTATATATATGCCTTAAAAGGAAGCAAAATTCTGATGCATTCCATGCCACATTATGGATAAGATACTATGCTAAGTAAAACAAGCAGACACAAAATGGCAAATATGAAGTCATTAAAACAGTCACATTCATAAAGATAGAGAATAGACTAATAGTTACCAGGAGCTGACAGGATAAAAAACAGGAGCTATTGTTTATTGATTGTGGAGTTTCTAGTTGGAATGGCAAAAACTTTCTGGAGATGAATATTGGTGAGGGTTGCCATTACAATGCAAATGTAGTCAATGGTACTGAATTGTACACCTAAAAATGGTTCAAATGAAAATTTTAGATTATATATTATAAGTCACAGCAAAAAAAATATTTAAAGAAACTTAGAATGAAAGCATTTTTCATTCTCTTCTCTCCCACAGGGACCTTGCCCGGCTGTGCAGAGGAAATTTCAGACACTTCCACAGGTCTCCTCCAACTGAACTGCTTCTGCTCAAGACCAGTACAGTCTCCACGCAAGGTATCCATCAGAGCTCCTTCTGTCTATGACGGTCTTCTTAACCACCAGGCCACATGCCAGAACTTCCCTGGGTTGGCTTATTTCACCTTCAGGGTTAGAAAAGAATATCTTTAGAAGAATCTACTTCCTTAATTTGATCAGGGAGACTTGAGTTATTGATCATTATTCATGAACATCTTAAAAATACCACATCATTCCCAGACCCATATTCTAAAAAACACACTTCTAGGAATGAAAACCTTGGTACTATATAGCTAATTTATTGCTCCTCTGAGTAGAACACAAACCTTTGAGTGAAAATGCCAAGATTTATTTATACCTCATCTGTTTGTAAACAAACCAAAGACTAAAAATCACGTGGTCAGATTTGTGAGGGAATAATTTAGGCATAATAGATCACTTCAAGTCACTTTATTTTCAAATAATACAAAAGCATTTGTAGGACTTAGCAAACCATAGTTTATTTTTTGTACATATCAACATTTTTGACTAAATTTTCACTGAGTTTATTAATATTTTGCTGAATTTCCAGATGTTTTGCTCTCTCATATTTGTGTCACTATATATCTTTATTTTCCTCTTACACTATGATTCCTATGTATAGTTTATTGTTGGAAGATAGCTGCAGGGTACAACAGATATTAAAACTATATAGCATCTCATAAGATGTGAAGCTGAATATCTATTTTTAAATTAGGTAACCTTTTTATAGCTTTAAGGGAAAACATGGATAGTACTTCTATGTGTGTGTATGTGTGTGAGTGTGTGTGTATATACGTGTATGAGCTTACGTACATTAACAAAGAATTATTTTATATCGAGAATGAGCAAAACCTCTACAAACCATTGCCAGAAAACCCTAGATTTTGTTTTGTTTTAGATCTTTAAGTCTGAATGAGATCTTCATTTATATATATCATATATTTATAAAAAGCATATATAATTTATGTATAATATGCAAATTATACCTGTATCTATTACAAGTAACATAATAATTATTACTATATATACATAGTAATACACACACACACACACACACACACACACACACACATACACTTACACATAAGCCTGACTCACATATATCCTCTGAGGAATTAATATATAAATTGATTAAGCTATCTGGGGATTTTAACTCTGACTTGATATTTTCCTAGCTTATTTTAGTTTTCTCCCCTATATTTTAAGAATTTCAATGTGACTTTCTAGATCATTATCTTTGGATCATTGGCCCTAATCTAAATATAACTTATGTTTCTACTTAGTCATTGTGGTTTTAAAGGTGTGTCACTTTATAGGCATCTTATGGCTTGTTCTATGTGGAACAAAGGAGACAGAATAATTGGAGCAGAACAAGGAGGGTGTTGTCTTCATGGGAGACCCAGTGAGAGAGGGAGGTGAAGACCAGAACCAACACTTTTGTTTTGTTCTCAATTTAAGAAGCAAAACTTGGTCTCTGAAAAAGCTTTACTCTGATACAGTTTTTCCTACTGCCAACACATGATCCTACTGTTCTGTCCTTTTTTGTAATGATGAGACTTTTTCTGATTTAATTTTGATTAGGCAATAATGCACTTGACTTACCTCATGGCTCATCATACCCATCTTTGTTGTTGCTAGTGACATAATTGCTCAAATATATCAGCTAGAACTTCAATTGAAAAGTTTTCAATTCTTAGTTTTATCTTTTTATGATCCAACTAAATAGCATGATCTTGCTTTAATTTCAAACACAAAATGTCTTTTCTCAAACTACATGTTTATATTCCTGGTTCTTGTGTGTCTTGTAGACCTTCAGGACCTTGATTTAGGACCTATAAAGTCCCTGTCCCTCAGCGGAAGGCAACTACTTATTCTAAACGTCTCTGATGAATTCTTTGCCCCTCCATTTCCTAGATTAGAGAACTCTGAGATTTGGCAGTACTAGTTTCAAGGTAAATCTAAACTAGTTTTTCAGAATCTTGCTTGTTAAGTGTCTGACAGTCTTGAGACTAATAAATAACATGTAGATGACAATATATTTTCAGTATCCCCAAGCACATAACATTGTATTAATTTTACTTTTTTCTTGGAGAAAATGGATTTTTACCTGTGCTTTATCCTCTGCCCACGTCTTCCAAAATTGCAGAAATTATTCCTTGTCCTTTACACTTTGTTTTGGGAATGCATGTGTTATATTCATATTTTTTCCATGTTAGAATTTTATTTTTCATATAGTTTAAGCAGTAATACAGAATTTGTTATAAATAAATTTCTAAATTTTTATCTCTGTGTGGGCACAATTTACTATTATTAGTAATTTCCTTGACATAGTTATAATAGTTATAATCTTAATAATCATAAACTAAAATTTACAGAAAACCTTTTTTTGTATCTCTGAGATCCACTAGTGAGAGAACACAATTTTACATGAAACTAAATGAAGAAAGTCTAGGAATTATGCAAAGTAACCAGTTGTTCTCTGGACTCATATTCTTAAAGAATAACTGCATGAATTCCCATAACAAGGCAGAGCTCTCAATTTCAGCAAAGATTCCTTACCCTATATGTACAAGGAAAATAAAGAGACTTCAGATTTCCAGTGGTTATTCGAGACTTCAAAAATAAAGTGGTCAGTACTGACCAGGATGGACTGAAGATTAGTCTTCTTCCCATACATGAAGCTGGAACTGGTCAAAGTGGAGTAGGACCCAATGAGGCTGATATTGAATGGTGCATGGAACAAATAAATAGGATCTAGAATAAGATTTAAATACCATAAACAACTGTATACTTCTTGTATGTCTGAGTTGTCATCTAGGATATTCTTCATATTTTGAGAAAGATTTAGTGGGTACATGTTTTATTTTATGTTTGTTTTTAGTAACAAAGTTTTCTGTAACCAAGTGTGTATGTTTCAGTATGTTGGTTTTTAAATAATTATGGTGAGCTTTCCATGACAGTGTACTATTTTTCCAAGTTATACAGAATTTCCTGGTGAACATGCAATTATTTATTTAGACATTTCCTTACTGATTAATTACACTTAGATTGTTCTAATTTTTGCTTTTGCAAACATTGTGTTGTATCCTACTTGTATTTCTGCCGGTAGAAATGATTTCTAGACATGAAATTGCTATCTCAAAATTACTTGATTATTTTATATTTTATTAGTGTTGAGGATCTCCTAACAGTATGTGTATTCTCTTTGTATAGATATATAATTTTCTAAACTATTATTATAATTCATTATTATCAGGATTTTAATTTTTGAAAATTTGATATTCAAAAAACATGTACCTTACTATTGTTTCATTAGCTTTTGTCTACCACTATTGACATTGAGGATCTTTCTGTCATTTCAGCCTTTAGTGTCTTTCTGTAGTGAATTAATCCTTTCTACTGTTTCTTTTTTTTTTACATGTTTGTTGCTCTGTAGGTAGCCAATATTTCAGTATAAGAAATTGTAACATTTTATCACATATACATAGAATATATTTATTTAACTTATAGACATATATAATATTTTTTATCTATTTTATTATTTCATATTTACATGCATATATCCTCACAAAGAAAATTTATGGATACTTTTCATACATTTGAGATGAATTTTTAAACATCTTTTTCCATAGATTTTGTTTATAAGATCTTTCATGGTGTAGACACTTTGATATTTTTGTTTATTTGTTTAATCTCTTGATATTTTTTTTTCTGCTTTCTGAGTTTCACATTATACTCATGGCTCTCATCCACATCCGCCTGCACTCCCCCCTCCTTTTTCTTTGCTATTTTTTATAATTGTTTTTATTTTGAACTTTGTCTTAAATGTGGTGTGATATAATGTTCTACTTTATATACAAAGCTAACATCTCAATACTATTTTTGTATCTTTCTTTCTTTCCACTGATCTGCAGTCCCACCTTCCTCACATACTGATTTCACCTGCATCAGTGCATGTATTTTAAAGTCTTTTTTGCCTATACCTGGACACATATTTGCTTACCAATACTTAAAATATATTTTGATATCTGATGAAGCAAATAATGAAAAGGGTTTTCTTATTATTGTATAGCACATTTTCTGGGCTCTTTTTCAAGGAAGACTGAATATCAAATCATTAGTCAAGTATATACAATTACTTGGAAGAATTAAAATCTATACATGACTATATCTGTCTTCCCAGAACTTCAAGTGACTATCCATTTAATCAAGTGTTTTTTATCCCTCAGAAAAGGCTTAAAATGTAATTTGTATGTTTAAATATGTTTTCATTTGTTAAAATAAAATTATAGTTATTTTATTATATTTTCTCATTTGTTAGAAACTAGATTATAGGTAATCTGTTGATTTTTGTTTATAACTTTCCAAGCTTTTCTTATATTTTTTTCTATAATAATAATAACAAATGTCTCTCTTTCTTTCTAATACTTATGTTTCCTTTTTTTGTCTTATTGTATTAGTTAAGACCTATAGAATAATGTTGAGTAAAGGTAATAAAAGCAGACATTTCTAACTTAATCAAATTTAATATTTATTAGTATTACATAACTAATTTTTCTAGCTGCATTTGCTTTGTTATACATACTTTTCATAAAGCTAGGGAAATTTTCATTGATTCTCAGCTTACCAAAAACAATAATGTTTATCAATGAGAAATATTAGTGAAAATATTCTCAGGAGCTTTTGATTTGATTATATTTATTTTTTTCTCTTTAGTTAATGAACAAGTTACATTGGGGAAGTTTTTAATGTAGGAAGGTAGTTATATTCTCATAATAAATCCTGTTATGTTCTATAAGTATTACATTTTCAATATAACATTGTATCTAATCTTCTAATATTCAGTTTAGAAGTATTGTAACTCTTTAACAAATTAATGGATGAGTATTTGATTTTATTTGTGTGTGTGTGTGTGTGTGTGTGTGTGTGTGTGTGTAATTTTACTTACTATTTTTTCTGGTTTTAATATCAGCATCATGCCACTTTTGAAGGAATAAATTTTGATCACCTTTTTTTAGATGTTCAAGAAGAGTTTAAGTTAATGTGATTTAAATGTTTTTACAGGATTAGTGAAATTCATAATAAATAGGACCATCCAAGCCTG